CCCCCCCCCCCAAAAAAAAAAAAAAAAAAAAAAAAAAAGAAAAGATGCCAAGAGGAAAATAAACCTGGAACCATCACCATGATGCCACATAATTTGCATATTAACGAGATTATCCCATCAACATCACCAGGCACCAGCAAGCCTATAGGAAAATCTCATCGATTCAGCATTTACTTTTGCACTAAAATAGTACCAGAGCATGAAGCAGGATATGAAAGAAAAATAAAATAGAATCAAATTTTGCTTGGTTATTAGAAAGATTAAAAATGAGAAACAAGGACTTAAAGCAACAATGACAAAAAACAAGTCACCAGAAAATTTAGCATCAAAAAGATCTCTTTTCAAGCCACAGATTAGCTTCGAGTAAATTTATGATCAAAGTGAAGTACATATTTCAGTGGGATGAGGTACCAGAAATTGTTCTAGAATATTATTATTCGCATCCTACTATAGACAAATAGTAGAACTAGAAGAGTTCCGTGAATGATACATTCTGTTCATTAAAAATATTCTTCATTTTATTAATCTACAGCAGTGAATCCTTCAAGATAAGGTGATTATCACGAGAACTATCTCCGCATTTTAAGTGTCCTTATAACCGTCAGATCCCAAGCCCTATGCCACTGATTCAGTTTGAATAAACATGCAATGAAAATTTGCATCAGAGGACTCAGGAAGAGAGAGGCAACAGACCCCATCTCTCCCAAATTCCTAGGACTTGTTAACATCCCCAGGAAACCAATTCCAACACACGACCATCGCTACCATCACACAAACATCAGCATGAAATCTATGCCCCCATCACTGTTGCAACCACTCCTTATCAAGCCATATTCTGTAGATTGAAACTATACATCACAAAGATGGTTCAATGAGGTGTTAATCAGTGAGGATAAAACATTTAGGTTACGTTAACGTGGAATTGTAGTTTGTGGCGATCTGTAACTGTAGATCTGAAGGAAACTGAAAGATAACGGTAAGAGAGGCAGTAATTCTGCCATCTAATGATGTCTGGATTTTTGGTAGGATTATCTTGATCATTTTCTTAATCCTCTTGAAATACTTACTGCAAGTAATTGGGTTTATAGGAACTTCCAATATAGTGGTGGAGACTATAGCAAGATGTGGTTGCACTTGATGGAGGAGGGGTGGAAGTGTCGGGTTAGCTTGGGGTGACTGGGGAAAAGAGATGCTAGATTGATTTTTCCTTTCGGAAGCTGGACTGCTCGACTCAAAAATGACAAATGACACGAGTCATACTATCTACTGATGAACAGATCCAAATCAGACTCAGCCAATTCGCATGAAAAAAAAAGGAAAGGGGAGGAAAGGTGTGTTGGAATTTATAGATATTACCAAACTTTTATAGTATAGATTTATAACAGCTGTTTTATATGATATTACACTCAGAATTATCCTTGTGGAAACAAAATTTTAATTATTAGAGTATAATGATGTTATCAAATAAATCCATTGAAACAACTAGTTGCCACACTTGTCTGGTCGAAGAATTTGACTAACCATCATCTGGCTCTACATTTCGCAAACAATTGACTGCTGCATCTATCAGCACATCCGAATGAGAAATAAAGCCACCCAATAATGCAACCTGATACATGAAAAAGAAAAGGATATCAGCCAATATCTATCTGTATATGATAGTAAAATTGAACACGAAATTGATACCTCCGCTGTTTCAAGATAAAGATTCAACTGTCTCCAGTGAGTGTGGATAGAAGGTATTGTAACTTCATTAAATGCTAGACAAGATTTGATGAAATTGATATTATTATTTCCATCTCTTATGGATTTAACAGCTAAATTATTGCTGGAGTGAACGAGGGTCTCCTGCAAGCCAAGTTTAGAAATTATTATGTACGCGTGGAAAATATATTTCTATATCAAGTATGAACAGCACCAAAACTCGTAATAATCAACCGTGTGCATTATGTAAGACCAAGATACACATTGGTACATAGATTAGAGTATTATCAACAAAAAAATTCCTCCATCAAAAATAAATTAAAGAAAAAAGGGCCTGCCCATGATGTGGAAAAGTCTCAAATCACAAAGACACTAGAATGTAAAACAAGTAAAGCACATGTATTTGATCCTGTGTAGGTACTATCAGTTCCAAAAGCATCTTCAGCTCTCTCCTTTCATAAAGTCCATATCGATAGGAGAAATAGGATCTGCCTTTTTCCTTTTTTTGTACTGGTGTATTTTGTTCTAGAAATGTACAACAAAAAAATACAAAATTCTTCATTTAATTGTATGCCGAATTCATCAAGAAACTTGGGGAGAAAGTTTTAATTCTTGAAATAAGGTTCTTGAAATAAGGTGTTCATCTAAAACTTGAAAAGGGGGTGTTACAATTTTAAACATACAAAATATTGAACCAGTAGTTAGTTGTTTAACTGGAACACCTACTTATTTCATATTAGAACTTCCCGTACATTTATATGTAGACTTCAGTGTCAGAAGAAGGATAAACACATACATATTTAATAGATTTTCAGATGTTAAGGCTACTGTCGTAATGTTATGATTGAGTATCAGATAATCTCCAAAGATCATAGATCTTGATGTCGTAATAGATTATTTCAGAAGATACAGACTTTTTATCAGCATTTGAAGTATCGTATTTTATCATAGTGTATAATGAGAAATTTGAAAATCTAGCTTGCATAAAATGGTGGAAGTGAGAAACAAATTGCAATTCAGGTACATAATTTTTTTCTTAATTTAGAGGGTGTTTGACACCAATTTTTAAGAAAAAATGAATTTTAGAATAGTAGATTGATGAAGAATGTGTGGATGAAAAATTTTTATTTACGTGTAATATATTTTAATGAACAATGTGGGGTTGAAAAGAAAAGAGAGAAAAATGCATTTTAAGAAAAATGAGAATCAAACGGAGCCTTAATAATTCGGGTACATAATGAAAATTCTTGATTGAAAAACATAATTATACATGGGAAAAAATAGAAAAACCTGGAGTACACTTATGCTTCCAAAAGCTGCGCGACATTCAGTGAGAAAAGTTAAATGTTGTTCAACCTCCGGACCATAGTCAACCTGAAAGTAACATGCACTAATATGTGTTGGCAAACCAAATTCTTCTCTGAGATAGTCAACTGCATTACACCCACTACTCTGAAACTAGAAGTGGTTTACCATATATACGAAGCGGGAAATCAGATGTGCAGGATGTTGATAATCGTCCTTTCTTATATTTGAGAAGTCTACACCATCACACAAGGCCTGAGAAATTTCAAATAGAGCCTCAATGACCGTCGGATCTTGTACACAACCATTCCTGCAAATACAAGTGAATAACAGGATAGCTCAGCAAATTTTTGAGAATAGAGAAAATAAAAACTTCTGAAAATCTTATCTTTCCACATGCAAAAACTGGTGCACAAAAGATTCCATGTATCATAAAATTTTCATCATTAAGTACCAAAATACAACAGATTGCACAACGTTGATGAAGCAGTAAGGATTTGGGAATATTTTCATATATATTATTGATCGGAATGAATACATATATATACACAAAGATCTGGAAATGAGATCCTTAATCAGCTCCTAGAAAATAGAAATTACCCTATCTATCTATGGTATACAAAATATCAGCTAGAAAAATTAGGAAACTAACTCCTAATATTCAGACCATAATTATAGGAAAGTAATTACTTTTCTAATTGACTAGTTTGTTTTCCTACACTCCCCCTCAAACTAGGCGGTATATATTTATTAAACCAAGCATAGAACTTAGTTCAATGAAGTTGGGTCGAAACAAAGCCTTAGTTAAAATATCTGCTGCTTGCTGCCGAGAGGGCACATAGTTGAGAGAATCACGTTTCCTTCTATTTTCTCACTGATGAAGTGCCTATCGATCTCAACATGCTTCGTTTTGTCGTGATGAACCGGGTTTTTCGCAATTGCAATTGCTGATTGGTTGTCACACATCATCTTAATAGGATTTGAAGTTCCAATCTTGAGTTCACCTATCAGTCGATTTAGCCAAATTCCTTCACATATACCCTGAGCTAATGCTCGAAACTCGGCCTCGGCACTGCTGCGGGCTACCACCTGCTGTTTTTTACTTCTCCAAGTCACCAAGTTTTCCCAAACAAATGAACAGTACCCAGATGTAGACTTTCGGTCAATAGGAGACCCAGCCCAGTCTGCATCTGTGTAAATTTCAAGGGATTGATTAAGTGTTATCTTGAACATTAACCCCTTTCCAGGATCGTTTTTAAGATACCTAAGAATCTGACTCACTGCCTCCATGTGATCCACTAACAGATTACTCAGGAACTGGCTGACAATACTGACTGCAAAGCTTATATCCGGGCGTGTGTGTTAAATATATCAGCTTCCCCACCAAGCGTTGATACTGTCCCTTATCCGTTGCTAACTCTTCAGTCCGAGGCATCAATTTGGTATTAGGGTCCATAGGAGTCTCAACCGGCTTGCAACCACTCACACCGGTTTCGTACAGAAGATCCAAAACATACTTGCGTTGTGAGACTGAAATTCCTCTACTTGACTTGGCCACCTCCATTCCCAGAAAATATCTTAGATGTCCGAGGTCTTTGATTTCAAATTCCTTGGATGGTAGAATCTTAAGTCTTCTCATCTCTCCTTCGTGATTCTCAGTTAGAACTATATCATCAACATAGACAATCAACACTGTGATTCTCCCATCTGTGAAGTGTTTGATGAACAATGTGTGATCTGCTTGAGACTGTGAGTAACCATCTTGTTTGAGCACCTTAGTGAACCTGTCAAACCATGCTCTGGGTGATTGTTTGAGCCCATACAACGCCTTTTGCAGTTTGCACACCTTTCCCCTTGTTTGCTTAGTTTCAAAACCAGCTGGTATATCCATATAGACTTCCTCAACTAATAGGAAGGCATTTTTCACATCAAGCTGAAATAGAGGCCAGTCTTGATTGACAGCAATGGATAATAGGACACGTACTGTATTAAGTTTGGCTACAGGAGCAAAGGTCTCCTGATAATCAATTCCATAAGATTGAGTGAACCCTCTAGCTACTACCCAAGCCTTATATCTATCAATGCTCCCATCAGCCTTCTACTTTACTAAAAATATCCATTTACATCCCATAGTTTTCTTACCAGGTGGTAATGATGCTAAGACCCATGTGCCATTTTTCTCAAGTGCATTGTACTCATCTAAGGTTGCTGTTCGCCATTCAGGGACCTTCAGGGCTTCACAAACTGAACCGGGAATCATGGTTTTATCCAAAGAGGTCACAAAAGATAGGAATTTCTGTGATAGGTTTGAATAGGAGATGTAGCTACGAAGTGGGTGTTGAGTATATGATCGAACGCCTTTTCTTTGAGCAATAGGCAGATCTAATTCTAGATCACTCTCTGCCACCTTTTCAGAACCTGACTGTGGACTGAAACCTGCCTCATTTTGTGACCTTTCAGGATCAATTGAACTTGGGAAAGTCTCTTGACTTTGTTGGCTACGTTCGGGTTGCTGAGGTATGTTTCTTCTTGTGTAAACTTTTATTGCTTCATCAGGGAGATTGAGATGTTTAGGATAGATCACAGAAGATGGACTTGTTTCGGGTGAATGTGGACTTCTTATTTCAGATGATGAGTTAGGTGAGTGTGATGACTCTTGTGGATGAGATGGACTTGGATTTGACTCAAGGAGGGCTGACCAATCCCAATTTTGTAATTCATGAGTGTCATACTCCCCCTGGATTGCAAAATTGGGAAAGAATGGTTTATCTTCAAAAAACGTGACATCCATGGTGTTATAGAATTTGCGTGTGATGGGAGAGTAGCATTTGTAGCCTTTTTGATTGGCTGAGTATCCAATGAAAATACATTTAAGAGCACGTGCATCGAGTTTGCTACGGTTGTGATGGTGAATATGAATAAATGCAGCGCAGCCAAAGATTTTGAGAGGGATTTGAGACACTAGTCGTGAGGTTGGATAAAGGCTATGAAAAAGTTGTATTGGTGATTTGAATGTGAGGACTCGTGAGGGCATTCTATTTATGAGGTAAGTGGCTGTGAGGACTGCGTCGCCCCAAAATTTCTTAGGAACGTTGGATTGAAAAAGCAAGGATCGAGCAACTTCGAGTATATGACGGTTTTTGCATTCGGCTACACCATTTTGTTGTGGTGTGTCAACACATGAGCTTTGTTGTATAATACCATGGGACTTGAGATATGGACCGAGAATAGAATTAAAGAAGTCTCTAGCATTGTCAGTTTTGAGGATTTGAATATTGGTTTTAAACTAGTTTTGGACCATAGCATGGAAATGCTGGAAAATATGGTTGGTCTCAGATTTTTCTTTCATAAGAAATGTCCAACATAATCGGGTATGGTCATCAACCAACAATAAAAACCATCGAACACCAGTAATATTAGGAATTCTAGTTGGTCCCCAAATGTCACCATGAATGAGGGAGAGAGGATGACTTGGTTTATAGGGTCGTGAAGAATAAGTGCTTCGGGTATGTTTTGCAAGTTGACACACTTCACAATGGAATAAATTGGGATTTTTATTAATGAATAAAGATGGAAACAATCGTTTCATGTACAAAAAATTTGGATGACCAAGACGAGAGTGCCACATCATAATTGTACTATCCTTATTTGACCGACTGACTGACTGACTTAAGACTATGAATTGACCAACATTGAGGATTGACTCGATTTTTATTTGCCAAGGAAATAGGAACTGATGAAGTGTTCACATCAAGGAGATAGAGACCCGCACGAAGCTCGGCATTGCCAATCATCATCCCCGAGGTCAAGTCCTGAAACACACAATATTTGGCAAAGAACTTAGTTTCGCAATGAATGTCGCTATTTAGTTTGCTCACAGAGATGAGATTACAGTCAAGATCAGGTACAAATAAAACAGAGTATAAGGTGAGAGTGTCTGAGAGATGGATTGTTCCTGCCCCTTCCACTTTAGTACGTGTACCATTGGCTATACGTACTGTTTGATGACCATTATAAGGGAAATAGGTTGTGAAAAGAGATCTGTCACCTGTCATATGATTCGACGCACCAGAGTCTACTATCCATGAAGAGGGGAAATGTGCTACATGAAGTGCGAGGTTGCCCGAGCCATGCATTGAACCGTTCCCAACATTGGTAGATGTTGGATTAGTTGAGACATTAGCCTTACTAATAAGCTGTTGAAGTAATGCTAACTGATCTTTTGTGAAAGACACCGGATTGTTGGATTGGGACGTCTCGGTAATTGCTGCGTTTCCTCTAGACTCACGGTCTCCACTTGGCTTCCAATCAGAGGGCTTTCCGTGGAATTTCCAGCATGTTTCTTTGAGGTGGCCTGGTTTCTTGCAATAATCACACCAGGGGCGTCCTCTTCTTAAACGATTTTCATTGAAATTTTGTGACATCCCACGAGAGGCAAGTGCAACAGAATTTGGTGAATGATCCTTGGCTGCTGCAAGGGCTGAAACATCTAGGGAAGAGGAAAGGCTGGGTTGTCCCAACAGCACTCGCTTGCGGCTCTCCTCTCGGCGCACTTCGGAAAAAACTTCTCGTAGACTCGGTAGTGGTTTGGTCCCTAGGATTCTGCCTCGAACTTCATCGAGAGACTTATCAAGACCCATTAAAAATTTGAAGATGCGCTTGGTTTCAACAATGGTTCTGAAATAGGTACGGTCATCAGGACACTTCCATTCATGTGATTCAAAGAGATCTAGCTGCTGCCAATGACGGGTAAGAGTAGTGAAATAGGTGGTGACAGAGTTTTCTCCTTGTCGCAGGTCCTGAAGAATGCTTTCCACATGGAAAAGTTCGGCTGTGTTTTCATTGCTAGAAAAAGAATCACGTGCAGCGTCCCATATCTCTTTGGCTGTAGTGTATAGCAAAAAATTTTCTCCTATCTCCGTTGTCATTGAACTGATCAACCAAGACATAACAAGATTGTTTTCTGCCCTCCAAGATCTGAATTTCGGATCACTTGAATTAGGTTGGGTGGCTGCGCCAGTGAGGTAATCATCTCGGCCTCGTCCACTTATGAACATCATCATTGATTGGGACCATTGGAGATAGTTATGGCCATTGAGTTTATGACAGGTGAGGAGATGGGGCTAGTTTCAGTTGTAGTCTGAATTAATTGGGGAGCGATAGGAACACCAGGAGAGGGATTAGATGTGGATGAGTCCCTGGAGGTGTGCTCGGATTCTGCCATAGGAATGATATTTGTGAGAGAGAGATGAAGATAGATTCGAGATGATGACTGAGAGGTTGAGAATTAGGTTTGTGATGCTCTGTTTTGTAACCCGGGAACAGGGTAGAACAAAAAGGAAGAGGCTCGACCGCCGCTAGACAAAAAAATTAGGATTTTAGAGCCTTAGCTCTGATTCCATGAAGCAGTAAGGATTTGGAAATATTTTCATATATATTATTGATCAGAATGAATACATATATATACACAAAGATCTGAAAATGAGATCCTTAATCAGCTCCTAGAAAATAGAAATTACCCTATCTATCTATGGTATACAAAATATCAGCTAGAAAAATTAGGAAACTAACTCCTAATATTCAGACCATAATTATAGGAAAGTAATTACTTTTCTAATTGACTAGTTTGTTTTCCTACAGTTGACAATCAGTCAAATGACTGGGAATGATCATTTTAACTAAAACTAGATAATCAGCCAGCCCATTCTCGTCAATATATTTAAAGACAAAACTGAAGTCTGTTCATCACTGCACTCAAACAGGTTTCAGTAATATGGCAAACATGAATACATAATACAAAAAAGAAAGACTTACGAACTCTTTATGGGGCCAACGAATCATACCTGGTGGCCATACTAAGAATGTGCATATTGATAGTGTTTCTTGAGCTCCCATACATTACATCTAAGATGTCAATGAAATGATTCTACAAAAGCATTAGATTTAAATGGGGGCAAAGAATCATACCTGGTGGCCATACTAAGAATGTGCATATTGATGGTGTTTCTTGAGCTCCCATACATTACATCTAAGATGTCAATGAAATGATTCTACAAAAGCATTAGATTTAAATGGTGATTAGTAACAATAGTTTACAACGATCTTAAACCACGTGATATTGATGCAGTGATGATATAGAGAGATTATGACTAGGCTACTGGAAGTTTTGAAACACAAATGCACAAGTGAAGTATGAAAAAGCGATCACTAACAGTATCTGCAACAGTAGTATAACAAACAACTTCAAAAAATTCCCAAGTTATAACTGTATTACATTTCAATTAGAAGCATACCAGAGCTAATATCTTTTCAATATTGGCGAAATGTGTAAGGAGTTTCAAGAAAATTGACTGCAAGCTTGCTAGTTCATTTTCACCAATCTCATCTTCCTGTGCACGATGAAATATGCCATCTAGAATCCCATTTAGATACGTTTCCTGTAAAATGGATATGAATTAGAGAGATGTGAGCTTCCAGAAAAAAGAACTCCTTGTTACCCAGAGTACAAATTCTCACTTACAGATTACGCTGAGAACAAAGACCGCCACAAAAATTAAGTTATTCTACAACCCTGCCTAAGAATAAAGTGGTCTAGATCTTGTGAAGAATATTCCAGATTAAATTCTTTAACCACAAGAATAAAGCTACAGAAAAATTGCCTTCAAAACCAAGAATCAGTCAACTTTTGGCACCTACCCCCAATAAATAGCTAAATAAATGAGAGAAAGCACCAAGTTTACTTTTCTAGCTAACCTTGACCGTAGCATTAAGGGTGTGCTTGACTGTAGGGAGAAGTTAGCAGAAAGAAAAATTAGAAGGGAATCTGTGTGAACCATAGTTTCCTCCAGTTTCGGTACAATGGATGGGAAAGAAAAATTCTTTTAAGTTCTTTTATATTGATATGCCCTTTGAATTTGCTACGTATCACTGGAAATACAATAAAAAGAATTCGCTTTTCCCTTTTCTACTTCTGCTTCCTCCTACCAAAACAAATATATCATGGACTTGGCTTCGTTTGCATTAGTAGCAGACTACACAAGGAGATCACAAATAGTGAAGTAGCAACTAGCTAGAGGACTGGGGCAGGAATCTGTTGGAGACCAGAACTCATGTCCGGTTATAATGTAATCGTATGAGAACATTTCCTTGGATTTTCTGCTTACAACTATTCTTCTTTACCTTTATGTATTCCAGTAGGAATCTTTCCGTGTAGAAACTAATAAATTTAGCTGAAAATGCTACACTAAAATATATGCTTGTCATTCAATAATTCACCAAAAAAAAATAATAATAATAAAATAAAAGATGACATAGAATCCAACAAGATTTGTATAACTCATTTCTGTATTTTAAATCACATGGTAAAAGATCCTTTCTATAGGGATACAAATAACCAAAAATATGAAACTTATGAATATCGATCTTAATCTTCCTACAAATTTAAATCTTTTCCTCTACAGAGAAAAGAAAAGGATGACAAAGTATTCTCTCCATAATCAGAAAGTATTATACACTAGTTCTGCCGAAAAAGGAAACTATTGAACAAGGAAAGTCAAATCTTCCAACATTTCCCTCAAATTTGTGAGGAGATATTTCTCATTCACAACTTATCTAGAATATGACTGAACGTTGCACAAGAAAATCATTTTAACTCAGAATGCAGCTGATTGTCTTCCCTAAAGACATGTATTAACACCTCCATCAACATTTACAATATGAAATATAAAATCAGTAGGAATTTCCAAAAGATACAACTGAATTATAGAGCCCATCGCGTTTGTTACAATAACATGGGATGAATAATTTGCTCTTGCCACTAAGCCAGAGGTCATTAGACCCTTTATTTAAAACTAAAAATGGCTACATAATAGAAAAGGACAAAAAAAATGCTAATAGGTTTTGCACAAAGTCCAATGCAAGAAAAGATGAGTTACCCTCTATTAAAGACATAGAAAAGATCCAAATAAACTGACGCTCACTCGTTGAAGCAACAACAAACCGTGGAGAAAAAGCTTTGTTGATTGATGAATTTGATAAGGAGGTAGCACAAAAGAGGAAGCCAATGAGAAATGTCACAAATTGCACACTCCAACAACAACAGATGCAGAAAAGACCGAAAGCAAAAGCTAACTAGTGAAGGACAGAAATTATTAGGACCAGTGTCTTTAAATAGCAGGAAAGAGGCTTTTTCTAGAACTCCAGAGTAGCTAAAACTTACAATTAAATTAATTACGAAATTTAAGAACCTAACCAAGCCAGGCCGATGAGCCCACGCAGAAATCAAATTGCCAAAATCAAAGGCAAATCATCAACTCCAAAAAATTGGGTCTAGAAAACATATCACAAGGACATCCTTGTCCGCACAGCAAAAGAAAATTTCAGTGGAACTGTGAAGCCACTATAAGTCTATCAAAATATATTGACAGAACGAGAAGCACTAGGCCAACCTTAAAAGGTCAACCTAATTCTCAACCTCTCAGTCATCATCTCAATCATAAGCGGCGCTCACCGAAGAAATGAAGCAAAAGCTAGTTTAGCTCTATTAAGACTTATGATGCTCAGACTTGGGAATGGGTATTGGCACGTATCTAAGTGCCGAATTTTTTATTTTCTAAAATGTAAGATATGGGAGCATGGCAAAAAAGAGTCCAAATTTTGGACTCGGGTACGTAGGTACGTCTTTCAATTCAATTTCTCTTTCTTCTTTTTTTTCTTTTTTAAGAAATTCTTAAATAATAATTAAGTGGCAAATAAATTATCTCACCCCAGCAAACTAAATCATGCCCAAAATGGCCCAAATTATGTATCAATTACAAATACATATACACCCAACAGCCATAAATACAAAAACTATTGGAGGCCAAGAACATTATCCCATATAACAAAAGCCCACTTATTTAAATGATTTTACATCAACCCAACCCATACAATTAACCCATCATTACATACAAAACCAACTTGGGCCATAAATCCCTTTGTCTTCTCATCTTCTCCATATCGTCTTCTTCCTATTGCGCCTGTTCTGCCTCCATCCCACATCCAAATAACTATTGCTTCTTCCAGTCACTGCCTTCAACGTCGTCTATTTCAGCCTCCGCCCCACAACCAAACGCCGTCGTGTTAACTTGAAAATTGAAGAACCCACCCTATATTTCATATCAATACCCGTGTCAACTCCAACCATTACAAAGAGTCCGAGCATCACAGGTTAAGACTTGGAATTCCATCTTAAAAGGTCAACCTTCTAAAGAAGAATAGTCCAAACTCTTATATATTGGTCTACATTTCAATAGTTAATCGATGTGGGATTTATCCCTTAACATGCCCCTGCAAAATATTGGCTCGTTTGAGCAAATCAATCTTGAAATTCACATACTCATTTTTCTAAGCCTTAATCGGATTAAATTACTCGTTGGAGCTTAATGGAATATGATATCATGTTAAAATATAGGGTTCCATTTTAAAAGGTCAAACTTGTTAAGATGAGTTGCCAAGACCCTTATAAATTGATCTATATTTTCATTTTTATTTGATGTGAGATTATATCCCTCAACATGCCCCCGCAAAATAGTGGCTTTTTTGAGTAGATCAATCTTGAAATTCATGTGCTCATTTTTTAAGTCTTAATCGGATCGAATCGCCCATTAGAACTTGATAGGCTCTGATACTATGTTAAGATTTGGAGTTCCATCTTAAAAGGTCAAACTTTTTAAGAAGAATAATCCAATCTTTTATATTTTTATCTATATTTCGATACTTAACCGATGTGGACTTTATCCCTCAACAAACTCAATGCAAGATCCAATCTTGCTATGATAACATGTTGGAAAATTGAAATTGCAAAGTAAAAGTTTTGAGAAAGAAAACAAAGAGGATTAGAAAATTTATATAACTCTTCAGTCTTCTCGTCTTTTAAATTGCAAAGTGAAAGATCATATTCACACGGTTATGAATAACCAAATAGGAAAGTTATAACCTCCTACCATAATCTTCCATGTGAATAATCTTCAAATACTAACCATAACTTGTGCAATAAAAATTTACTATCATCTTTCCAATACAAAGAAAAGAAAAGGACAAAAAACAGTGAATACCCTGGAATCTGAATATATACTACACTAGTTATACTGGAAAAGAAAACTGCTGAACACGTTGAGAGCATCTCCAATGCATTCTATGAATCGCGGCATGGAAGTTGAGAGACTTCTGGTCAACATGGCATTAATGTTTAATAAATAGACACTTGAGTATTAAATTAGTCTCTAATACACAATATGGATTATTATCTAGGTGTCCTTTAATTTCTTAAAATAAAACAAAATCACGCTCAAATCTGGATAGAATATATAGATTTGGAAAAGAAATATCAGTTTGCTAAGTTACTTCGTCTAACAAAACTTCTGAATAAGACAGGGCTCTAAATGTGGTCTATTTTTTAATCATGTCACCTTGATGGTGTCTCGTCATCTAGCATTGGAAAGGAATTTTTTCCAACACCATCTATTTATGCTTATGTGACACAATTTTTGAGCAATTCATGATCACATTGGAGATGCTCTAAGCCAAATATTTCAATAATATATCAGTCCAAAAATTATCTTTCTTTTTCTTCTTGGCAAGGATATCACTTTATTCTTTATGATAGAAACCACAATATCTAATCAAAAGCAATTTAACATGCGGGCATTAAGAAGATCGATCGTATAAACCAGAAAAAAATAACTTTTTTCTAGACAATAAAGTTGAACTTACAAACTGATTCTCGAATATTATGTCCAAATAGGCATCCACAACCTTTAAATACGCATCCAGACCGTTGTAACTAGATATAACCTGAAATATGGACATTGCTCAAAAATCTATTATAGATTCTTAATAAGAAGCAGAACTGTTTGGCTTATGATGATGAAATGAATCCTGAAGACATTTGAAGCCAATTTAAAGCCAAAAGGAAAAAAGAAGGGTGTTATAGACAGAAAAAGAATGTCGAGACAACTTGATTGGAGAATGAAGAGAGATATTAGAATGTAAAGCAGTAGAGATGCTATTCAGTAAACAGTAAGAATGTGGTAAAGCAGACAACTAACCCATATGCCAATCGAACAACTGATTTTCATTTAAATGAATTGTTCATAGTTTAGCAAACAGGAACAGCTGGATGAGACACTCTTAAAACAAAATCAATACATTTCTAACTCAATAAAATCAGGCACGAAAGAATGAGGATTCAAAGTCTCTGATTAAAGGCTTGTTTGTCATATATTTTTTAAAAATCATTTTTCCCCAAAATTACTTTCAAAGCACATTCTAGGGGACCTTCAATTTTTCCCCACTTTTTAAACACACATTCTACGAAAAAAAAAAAATAATAATAATAAATAAATAAAAATTCATTTTTCCTTGGAAAATTCTATTCCAAACAAGCTTTAAATGTATAATGGTAGCATACAGAATTTATATAGCCATCTATAATAAATAAAAGATAACAATGCCATAGCAAAGGATCAGTTCTGCATAACAGAGGAAGTAAAATCATAATACCTGGACAATTTTTTCTACTATTAGATCGACGTTGCTGACTTCAGGTATCCTTTCACACAGCCTAAATCCAAGTAATTTGTAATTCAAACACTGCATATTGGAGAGTTAATCTGCCCAGATTGGAAGTCTGGAAACTGCAACTTAAGCATCATAAACATAGAAGTATGCTGCATGAAAATCTAAAGATAGATACCTGTTCGAAGGAGAAATCATCAGTACATTCAATGAGATGAAGCATTTCGAAAGAATTAGAACAAAGGAAACCAAGAGGAAGTTCCTTCAGTATATGATGAAGAATGATTGAGATGCATGAACAGTTTTCGAAAGAGTCTGATTGGTTCCTCCTCATTCCAAGTGCCTCAAGCATACTTCTGATTTCCATCTGTCATGGAGTATTCACGTCATCCATCAGTCAAGCCATCATAATGACAGTACAAGGAAGACCAACTATTGGGAAAAAAATGATCATAGTGTAAAAACCTAAACACTAACAAGTAATCAACGGCTATATCAGCAGCAACTTCATAACCTAATCTAATGACGAAAAGTTTTCATATTTTAGAAAATCAAAGTTTAAGATACACGAATGAAGGGATTCACAAGGATATGAAACCAGAATTTAAAAATAAAAAAAATAAAAAATAAAAGAGTCACAACAGCAGGGAGCATAACAACTTAAACAAGCAAATAAGAGACTGTAGAACTGGTTCCATTCTGATATGAGAGAAACAAGCCCAGAAGATTAAAAATTAAACAGGAAAATTGCACAATAATTTGAAAAAATAAGAACTGGGGAACGATTTAACATCCCCACAATGAAGGCCCCACAAAAATTTAAACCTATACTGTCACATGGAATTGCCACAGAATAAGTAAAAATGCCAAAACCTCCAGGCCATTTTACATATAATATTGATGTAAGTAACAACAAGATTGAAGAAACACCATGCAGAGTTGTGCCAAATAGAACGGCTGCAATTATTCTCATTGTTCAATGTCAAACTCTACGTAAAAAAAGAAATGTATCTGTAGATGAGAAATAACCTAGCACCAGAGCAGGAACATATTTCGTGACTGACCTGGTTTAGATCCTTGAATAAGCATTTTATGATATACTCAATAGTCGGTTCAATCAGGCTAAGCAGCAATATACTGTTTCCCGAAAAATTTCCAGATGTGCTCTCTCTCACTGATATGAGGTGCAATAATTGCACTTTCAGGTCATTAATGCAATGAATCAAATATCCTGCCACATAACACATTTATCCATGACTTGCAATAAGAAATATTTAAAATGAAAACCAAGTTAAGGATATCCATACAGGAAAATCTAGGGGGACTAAGACACACGCTTTTAAGATCTAGAGTTGAGCCAGAGCAAATCATGACGTGAGTTTTTATGAAATGGGTTTAGACAGTTTTCTACAAAATTTTGAACTGAATCAAATCATATATTGGCAACAATAAGCCATCACCCGGCAATAAGATACAAAACTTTTTCAGTTTTCCTCTGGAAAATGCAAGGATATAAAATTGGGTGATCGAAGAAGTTTTCCTAGTTAAAATTTTGACTGGACAACACAGTAGCACAAGATATATAAGTGTTGACCTTACTTGAGTTACGACTGTTTCCAGATTAGAAGATATTGATAAAACATTGTCGTTTCTTGCATAAGAAAACAGAGAACGTGAATTAGCACCTGTATCACGTTGTGGCAGTCTTTGAGCACATCGTACCAAGTACAAGCGGCAATAGGCCGACACCAGCGGATCAGCAATGCCCCTTATCATCATAACCAAGCGTCGAAGGCTATCCATGGGATGGTCAAGAAGGAAGCGCCAGCAGTGCAACATGGAAAGCTCCAGATAGCTGGCATAAAGAGTCATCAGCATGAACAGACAGTGAAGATATCAAGCACAAAAGAAAAAGGAAAAATTAAAAGGTAAGCAGTTCACTGCTATACATAAAGAATAGTCCAGCTACAAGATGTAAAATAACGTTGCCTTAATGACTCTGGACAAGAGTATAAAGATAACATCGATTATTTTCGGAGGCAATGAAGATTTTCCATCTTCCTGTTTGGTATTTATTTGTCCCCTCCTCCCCCATCACCCCTTATCTTAGTTTGTTGGCGCACTCCATCAGTGGGATCCCATAAAATCAAAACTGATGGTTGCATCCAATGACGGATTTGCTAGTGATAGGGGCATTATTCATGACCAAGATGGACAATGCATCTGAGCTTTCTCTTCTCTATATGGTGATTGCCCTATTCTTGAGGCTGAGTTACAAGCTACTGTAGATGGGTTCTTCTTGCTCAAGGACTTGGACTTTCTAACTTGTTGATAGAAGCAAATTCCTCTTTAGCTGTTCATCGCATCATTCATGGAACTAGACCATGGTCCATCCAGGGTACTCTCAATCATATCACACACCATCTTTCATTTGATCAAGACATGATTTCCCACATACCGTGAGAGAAATCATGTTGTTGACTCACTTGTCGCTGCAGATTGGGAACATCATTACCAAGATTAGGGACCTTTAGACCTTCATCGACGATTACGCCTCGATAGAATTGACAAATATGGCATTTCTAGTGTTAGGCTATAGTTTACTTTTGCTTTCTTTACCATTGTAAGAGAAGTAATACGTCCTCATTTATTGTCTTATGTATTTTTGCTGTTTTGTTGGAGGTCAGGCCTCTGCCCCTCCCCCCATGTATATATTATGGTTGGGGATCCTAATCCACATCATGCTCCTTTGGAGGAGCCTAAAAACACTTTGAGGATGAGTTGATGATTAATAAATAAATAAATAAACAATTTCTTCCATCAACTCTTTGAAGTGGTGGGAATCTTTTCATGGTAGCATATTAAGTATTCCCCTTTCAAATTCAAAAAAAGCAAGTTGATATGGAATATCATAACAACTCAGTAAATGAAAAACATTGCCTTAACCCTTCAAAAAGAGGATCCGTAACATGTTCTCTACTCATGACTTGTCTCCTTAGCATACAAATTGTTTGACATCCAGTGACCAAATAAAAAATGAACATGAAAACTTGGAGACAAAAATGACCAAAAATTGACAAGTTTAAATTTAAAATTACTTCATAATTCCATAGAGGAGGACTGCATTAGTCAATACCACCAAGATAATTATACTTCCGAAATCTACACTCCACAAAACCACAATCCCTAATTGTTCAATTTCCTAAATCGAATTCTAAGCTTTCTTCTCAGCCCAGGGAGTTCACCAAGTATAGGCTCAGGAAGCAAGCAACAACTGCTTGTTGCGGATCCTGGTAGTACATGTTCCTTCCCAATTCGTATACCTCATTGATTTGATGTGTATGCAGATCATACAACTTCCTAAGATTCTCAGTACAAATTCAACTATATATCTCATGTCTACATGGAGTTCTATTCGATCATTCAAATTGCACAAATGATTAATCTCAAAACTGTGTTAGTGTTTTGATTGTATATTACCTATGTATGTCATTGAATAAAACAATTTTTGTCAAACCAAGGCTCATTAATATAAACAAAGATTCATCTTCATTTTTTCTCCATAACAGCAAAGCCATATCCAAGTAAGATCACAATGAGAATGCTAAAATGCTACAAGCAGGCTGAACTGAATAAAGACTGTCTTGACCATTATTTGAACAAAGTGGCCATCTTTAGATTTCATCTCACGTACTTACAGCTAAAATGAGGACATAGTTTGACCACACAATGTATGCTCCCGAGTTTTGTTATTTTATTCTTTCGCCGTATGAAGATCTACTTGGAATTTTCAATATAGTAATGTTAGCAAAAAGTTTGAACATAAACGCACTTATCTCCAGAAGAAACACTCTTCTAACAACTACAGAAGCATCAACTTAAATAAGATAATAATACAGAAAGGAAGTGACAGCATCAACAATTAATAATGACAATAATATAGGAAGCACGAAGCTAAAAGAGAATAAAGAACTTCACATGCGAGGAAGGAGCTCACGAACTGAACCAATTTTGCAGAACCAGTTATTGCAGGTCTCTTTGGCATCATAGCAAATATCAGCTGCTTCAAAATTATCTGCCACATAAAACAGAAAGTTTTGAGATTTGTAGTTTGACGAACATATTCAAGTTGCCAAAGTTACAACTAATAACAATCTTGAAAACAACATTGGGGTTTAAATATCCATATGTCAATGACTTGGTCTTAGTGAGGCCCTACGCAGAGAACATTCTACAGTAATCTTAAAAGGAAAACAGAAAAAGGAAATTCCATTTCTGATAAAACCTTCAGTAGAAAGGCTGACAGTAAGAATCACAGTGTGATATGTTTTCATATATTAGTTTGCCATTGCTGGACTTTCAACAAATGATCCCTTGTTTTCCAAGCTGAACAAAGGTTGTTTTCGTGTGTACTTAAATGCACAAATTACTCTTAACTCCAAACAATTTAGTCGGTACTTTCAGTAATATAGAAACAAGCCAAAGGTTGGTCTAGTAATCAACATGAGGCTGACGATGTTCTTTTTGACAACTCAACCAAGCCTTATCTCAAACATATCTAGTTGGCTTCATTGATTCTCATCTTCTACAATACTCTGTCAAGGGCGCTTCTCCTTAGTTAAATTACAAAGGGTCAAAAAACTTTAGGCCAACCTCTTCACCAACATTTACTATTAACACTAGCTCTGTCACTTTTCTTACCCAGTGCATCTAGCTGACTTTCTTGAAGATAGCCAAATCATCTCCGTTAAACTCAGGTAAAATCACTAAGGCGGAGAGCAATTGCATATGATGCGTACTTAAGTGTGATAAAATGAGATTCAAAAACACCTTAACTAAACCTGGCAAATAGCAAATAAATCTCCCATCTTCATTGAACTCAGCCCTTTTCTTAATGCGATTCCATACTAAATCACCTAGCAAGTCCATTATATCCGTTGATAGAACAAAAAGATTTGGATAAAACTGGACTGTGGTTGTATCCATAAGAAGTCTGGCAACCTGCAAAGAAAATAATTGATAATCAAAAACACATAGTGCGTGCATGAATCCCTGGTTGTAATATTGAGTTTCAGACTGAAGATACTCGGATGTTATTTAACATAATTTAAAAATTTACTTTCCGGATTTTCTACAATCAAAGCAAATAGTTCTTAATGACCTAGAATTTAAACCAGGTGAAACAACTGACAATTCAACACTTTCAAAAAGAAAATCCCTATTTTCTTTCAAGGGATTTTCTTTCAAGACAGAGAGAACACCATGTTAAAATTCTGACTATAACAGTTAGCAAAAGTATAAGACTAAACAAACAAAACCAAAAAATCTAAGCCATGACCCACCTTGATCGACAACCTTAAAGATGTTACACGGTCATCGGCATACCAAGCAAGTTTGATTTCATCTTTGAGTTCAAGTAATCGTGAGACATACTCCCGCTGACTGATAACCTTAACATCTTCAGCAAATTTTTGAGGGTCATCCAATTCCTCCAAGTGCGAATCTTTCAATGATTTCTCATTTGCTGCCAACTTTCTCTTAAAGTTAAAATGACTCCAAAAAAGACAAAGAAACCAGTGCAACCCAAAAAGTCAAAAGAAAAGAAAAGGATAACTGTTTTACAAAATACAAATTACCTTTACTACCCTTCATATCTCTGCTGGCTACCTGATAAAAGGAATAAAGTTGGGAAGTTAAAATTAGCCACTACATTCATAAAATAGGATGACCTTAAAACATGGTTACTCTAGCCTAGTTACAAAACGATATACCAATTCCAAGGTTGTCCCCACTTCTTGAACCCAGTGAAACAGAAACAAATTCTAAGCACTACATAAAGGTTTAAGAGCGATACCAAAGATATCGAAATTGTTTTAGAAACAGGGAATCTTTGCATTAAGATTTTCGTGAAAGAATTCCATTCCTTCTGTTGTGATTGAGCATAAATTTCCTTGGGGACTGTCTTGTCGGATTTAATATCTTCATGTTGCAAAATGTTGGCAGAAAATTCCATCGTCCCATTCAATGACCTCAGTGGATCAAAGAAATCATCTTTTCCGTCATCCAATAAATTCACCTGTAATTGATATCATCAAACTCTATCAACATTGTTAACATATTGCCAGATATACAACACTCTGGGGGCAGCACAAGTGTTCCCAGCACCTTTGGTGAGGAAGCCAAAATTAGAATTCTAAAACAAGAATAAAAATTGAAACTCAGAGAGTTCATAAGAAAAATTTGATTGTCATGAAAAGTTGGTTAACTGAAAGTGAACAAAGCAATTTTTCTCCCAACCCTAATAGCTAAAGTAATCAAAATCCTAGAAAGAGTAAAATCCTACAAGTAAAAAGAAATTATATTCTAACAAGAAAGAAGAAATCTTATTTTTCAAACAAGAAAGGAGACATCCTAATATAATAATATATAATTTCTATCATTTTTTGTAATAGGATTGTTCTACGTCATTCTCCCTCATTTAAAAAATTCATCCTCGGTTTGACTGGAGAAGAGAAAATCAATCAATCTGATGGAAAATACTCAAAATCTTCTGCCATACAATATTATAAAACATCCATATCTTCCGCAATTACATTGAATGAAATCAACTTTGCTCCAACAATGTTCATATTCTCTTCCTTAAAGGACACTTCCCTGCTTGGCATTCCTTTAGAAATGATATTTTATTCAATCCATCATTCTTGAATATGAACATTGTTGTATTGGGGATGGAAATTGTGATTAATTAGAGATTTTGTATTTTAGGATAATTGGTTTATTTCCTTATTAGGCAGATTTTTCCTTTTTTCTTTCATCTAGTGTATTATAAATTGATCGTATTATTGGTTGAATTTAGATGAATATACTGAAAAATTCATTCCAATTTTGTCTTCACAGTATTAAAGCTTAGGTTTCTCTAAACTAGCAACTCAATGGCGGAATTCCCCGCCAATAGCAGGGAATCGACAACCTCCGCAACAGCCGAATTCGAAGCAGAGGCCATCTCCTCAATCGGTTCTCATGGGCTGGAAACTTCATCCTTCCAACTCATGGTGGAGAAATTGAATGGGAAAAATTATCGAGAATGGACCAATCTATAAAATTAGTAAATGATGGTAAAGGGAAACTGGGTAACCTTACCGGCGAGACCAAGAGATTGAGAGTGTCATGCTGCAGAAGTGGAAGTCCGAGAACTCCATGGTAACTGCCTGGTTGGTGAATTCCATAAAACCGGCAATCGGAAAGGCATACCTCTTTCTTCCAACGGCAAAGGATGTCTAGGATGCAGTGAAAGATACCTACTCCAATTCAAAAGATTTCTCACATATCTTCGAGATCAAGACTCGATTGTGGTAGACTCAGCAAGGTTGGAGAGAGGTAACAGAATACTATATAGAAATGGTTGCCCTTTGGCAAGAATTAGACATATGTGGAGAGGAGGAATGGAAGTGTGGAGAAGACTACACCTTGTACAAGAAGTAGGAGAATGAAAGAGTGCACGAATTTCTTGCAGGGCTAAACCGTGAATTAGATGATGTTAGAGGCCGGATATTGGGTTGGCAACCACTACCCCTCACTCATGAAGTGTTCTCCGAAGTCGGACCGGAGGAGGCACGCTGGCAAGTGATGATGAAGGAGAGGCTAGAAATGTCTCTGCCTTAGGCGTAAGCAGATCTCAGAACGTGAGAAATAATGGACCAAGAAACTGGGCAACTGGGACTGGGTCTTCTAAAATAAATGGGCATGTTAAATTACATGGGCCTACTGGATTTGGGTCAGATAATAGCATTTCTAGTGGATTTGGACCAGCTGGACTTGGAGGAGGAAATTTGGGCCTATCATCAAAAGGAAGTATTGATGAATCCAACCGAAAATTGCAGAGACGACCCTTGTGTGAACATTGTCGTAGGCCAGGACATAAAGAAGACACGTGCTGGGAAATCCACAAAAAACCCACTGATTGGAAACCCAAAAAAATTACTAAGAGCCAAGGGTATCAAATCGAAACAAAAAATAATCGAACTTCTAGTGGTACTTTCAATTAAGAACAACTAGAGCAACTTTACCAAATGTTCTCAAGCCTTCAAACATTTGGTCAACAGTCCCCTAAAGGTCCTTCTAGATCTCTTGCTCATAAAGGTAACTTTCTTAGAGCCTTAAGCACCTCACGATCAAAAACTTCCTGGGTTATTGATTCCGGTGCGTCCGATCACATAACGGACTCATATCACCTATTCTCTTCTTACACTACCTGTGCGGGAAACATTAAAGTAAAAATTGCAGATCGATCACTCTCATCGATTGCAGGAAAAGGAAGTATTTGAATATCTAAGTCCATAACACTGAATTGTGTCCTTCATGTCCCAAATTTGTCAGGTAATTTGTTAGCTGTTAGTCAGTTGACAAAAAATTCTAGCTGTTCTGCTAATTTCTTTCCATCTTACTGTATCTTTCAAGACCTTTTATCAGGGAAGACGATTGGCAGTGCTAAGGAGTTTAAGGAATTATACTACTTTGAGGAAGCTGATATGAGTAAACTAGGTCATATATTAGTTTGTAATTCTGCATCTACTTCTAGAGATATTGAACTTTTGTCATGGCACAATAGATTGGGACACCCTAGCTTTAAATACTAGAAACGTGTATTACCTTCCATTTTCAATAATAAAACTTCTATTGAAATTCAATGTGAAAATTGTGATTTGTGAATTTGCAAAACACACAGGTACATCCTTTCCACCTTCCACGTACAAATCATCTAAACCCTTCGTCATGATTCACAGTGATTTGTGGGGTCCTTCCCGCTACCCTAACTGGACCCAAAAAAAAATGGTTTGTCACATTTATATTCGATCACACTCGGGTATGTTGGGTTTACCTCCTAAAAAAAAACTGACGTCCATTTCGTATTCATAAATTTTCACTCTATGATTCAAACCCAATTTCAAACACCACTCCAAATTCTGTGCACTAACAATGGCACAGAATACTTTAATACGGCATTACAAGACTATCTTAAAAAACATGGGATTGTCCACCAAAGCTCATGTGTCAACTCTCCCCAACAGAATGGGATTGCTGAGAGAAAAAATAGACACCGACTTGAGGTTGCCCGTGCTTTAATGTTCACTACAAACATGCCAAAGATGTTTTAGTGGATGCCATTTTAACTTCTGCATATCTCATCAGTCGAATGCCTAGCCGAACTCTCTCCTTCGACTCACCTATATATAGACTCCAACAGCACTTCCCAACCTCCCAATTCAATTCAAATCTACCTCTCAAAGTATTTGGTAGTACTACCTTTGTACATATCCACTCTCATCTCCTAAATAAACTTGAACCACGTGCAATCAAATGCTTGTTTCTTGGAGACCCACCTACACAAAAGGCTACAAGTACTATGACCCATCCAACAAAAAAATCTATGTCAGTTTAGATGTAACCTTCTTCGAAAACACCCCTACTAAAAAAAACCTCATCTTCAGAGGGAGAATATAAGTGAAGATCGGTTATCAAATCTAGAATTCTTAGAAATTGATCTTTCTCCATCCAATACAGATGCTGTCAATCTACCTTCTAATGTGTCATATACATGAGGAAACTTGATTTCAGGTGAGATGATGGAAAACATAGTGACAAAGAGTTATTGGTTTACTCAAGGAAGCCAAAACCAAAGTACAAGGAAACTCTTACACATGAGGCACCAAGAGAGTCGAAACCAGTGATAGGACCTAAGGAAATCCCGTCCAATGAATCTTCTGATCTGGATTTACCTATTGCTGTCAGAAAACAAACCCGATCATGTACGCTCCATCCTATTTCAAAATTCATTTCTTATAATGCTCTATCTACAAAGTTTCGTACTTTCACAGCTAACATTGATAAAATAGAAATCCCACTGAATATTTAGGAGGCCTTGGAATCACCGAAATGGAAAAAAACAGTAATGGAAGAAATGAATGCTTTGGAAAAAAATTGAAACTTGGAAAGTGGTAAACTTACCGAATGGAAAGAGACCCGTAGGCTGCAAATGGGTCTTTAATGTAAAGTACAAATCAAATGGGACAATAGAACTCCATAAAGCGCGTCTAGTTGCCAAAGGACACACTCAAACCTACGGCATCGACTACACTGAAACATTTACACCAGTGACAAAACTCAATACAGTTCAAGTTCTCTTATCATTAGCAGTAAATCTAGACCAGCCACTTCAACAGCTAGACATTAGGAATGCTTTTCTTAATGGGAAATTAGAAGAAGAAGTTTATATGACAACACCACCAGGCCTCAACAACAAATATGAGGAAAATCAAGTGTTTAAATTGAAGAAATCTTTATATGAACTTAAGCAATCACCGAGAGCGTGGTTCGATAGATTTGCAAAGGTACTAAAGAGGCAAGGATACCAACAAGGGAAGTCAGATCATAGCATGTACTTCTAACAATCCAAAGATGGGACAAAAACTATCCTAATTGTATACGTAGATGATACAATCCTAACAGGGGACAACATAGCTAAAATGGAAAGATTAAAGAAGTGTTTAGTCGCTGAATTTGAAGTAAAAGACCTAAAACAAATGCAATATTTTTTAGGAATGGAGGTTGCAAGATCAAAGGTGTTAGTGTTTCCCAAAGGAAATACATTCTCGACCTTTTAATCAAAACCGACATGCTAAGATGCAAACCAAGCGACACACTTATTGAGGTAGGAACTCGGTGGAAATAGGCAGCTATCAAACACTAGTTGGGAAGTTAATCTATCTCTCACACACTAGGCCGACATAGCTTTTGCAATCACCATGGTAAGCCAGCATATGCATTCTCCCGAACAGGCTCACTTGGAAGCAATATATAAAATTCTCAAATATTTAAAAAGCACCTCTAGGAAAGGACTGTTCTTCAAGAAAAATAAACACAAAGGAGTAGAAATATTCATTGACGCAAATTGGGCTGGGTCAACAGAACATAAGAGGTCTACTTCAAGCTATTGCACATTTATATGGGGAAATTTGGTAACTTGAAAAAGCAAGAAACAAAATATAGTGGCAAAAAGCAACGCAGAAGCTAAATTTAGAGCGATTGCACAAGGAATATGTAAAGGATTATGGATAAAGAAACTCTTAGAAGAATTGAAAGTTGGGAATAGAATTGCCAATCAAGCTTTATTGTGACAACAAAGCAGCAATCAACATTTCTTTCAATCCAGTACAACATGATAGAACCAAACATGTAGAAGTAGACAGACACTTTATTAAGGAAAATGTGGATGACGGAATTATTTGTGTTATATATGTTCCGACTAGAGAGCAAACGGCACATATCTTCACCAAAGGGTTATCCAGACAGTTTTTTGATGACTTCAACCGCAAGTTGAACTTGGTCAACATCTATAGTCCAACTTGAGGGGAAGTGTAGAAAACGTCCAAGTAAAATATTAGGGATGGAAATTTTGATTAATTAGAGATTTTGTATTTTTGGATAATTGGTTTATTTCCTTATTAGGCAAATTTTTCCTTTTTTTCTTTCATCTAGTGTATTATAAATTGATTGTATTATGGTTGGAATTTAGATGAATACACAGAAAATTCATTCCAATTTTGTCTTCAGTATAAACACTGCATTTTTCAATTTTTTGTGCTTCTAGTGTTCTTACTTCTAATTATGACATCTTCAATATTACGAGTCCACCACTAATTTCCTCATGCTTATTTAATTCTTTGTCATTAGAAGGGTCAACAAGATTTTTATACTTTATTTGACAAGCTTCACCTTTGGCTTCTTCATGATTAGGCATAAACTTAGACATAGGGTCAACAATTCACCATAATGTTTTCCAACCTCAGCTTGTATTCATTATCAATTTCTATGAATTAGGGTTCAACACAAGTTTTCAACTTGCACGTTCTTTCCTACCTCTTGGCAATATCTCGGAAACACCATGATCATTTTGAATGACATTTTATTCAAACTTATAATAATATACCTCATTAATCTTTCTCTCTTTATTTACACTAGTATCCGTAAATTGGTCATCAAATAACAACAGAACAATCTCCTATTGTACCTTGTTTGACCCCATAAAGCGTTCACCAATTTTTTAGACACCATGTTCTCACTACTCCCATGGATAATGATCACGTTGCAACTTTGTTGTTGATGGTGCATCGTTTTTTTTAAAAATCGTGTCACGCTTCGCTTCAAATTGGGACAGCCTTATATATCTTCTGAAGAAGTCGAAGAAATCCTTATTAACTTCTTCTTGCTCACCATAAAATGGTAGATCATCAGCACCTAAATCGTTATGGTTGGAGCGGTCATCTATCCGTGCAAGTGCTCGTCCTTGGAGGTCGCGTATGACTTCAAAGATGAATGCTATTAAGGTATAATGGACATCTTGAGTTTTGTCAATCTTGTCGAGTCATGGCTTAATATTTTCGAATCTCCGACAGTCATTAGTGGCTCGAACTCCACTAGTACCGTCCTTAGCCATTAGGCCAAGGTCTCTGATATCAATTTCGGTACGAAAGCAAAATTGAAATTCTCAAAACAAGATAAAAATTGAAACTCGAAGAGTTTATAAGAATAATTTGATCATATTAAAATGTGTACAAAGTTTATATAGGCAAATAAATCTCCTAATACTAATGACCAAAGTAATTAAAATCCTAAAAGGAGTAAAATATATATACATATATATATA